TTCTGTGTTTTGTGTAACAGAAAAGCCAGGAGTGTGTCCAAGCAAGAACCTCAGAATAGGAGTGTGTGCTGAGATGTGTTCCCATGATAGTGACTGTCCAAATGATGAGAAGTGCTGCAGCAATGGATGTGGACATCAGTGTATGGCTCCATATAGAGGTATTTTGCTATATTAGTGTGTGGGTCAGCTTGCTTTCCTTTTTATTTTATTTAATACAGTAATGGTTTTTCTTCATGTGTTTTGTGTAACCAGAAAAGCCAGGAGTGTGTCCAAAAAACAATCATGAAGGAGCACTTTCAGGAGCGTGTGCTGAGCAGTGTTCTCATGACAGTGACTGTCCAAATGATAAGAAGTGCTGCAGCAATGGATGTGGACGTCAGTGTATGGCTCCATATAGAGGTCTTTTGCTATATTAGTGTGTGGGTCAGCTTGCTTTCCTTTTTATTTTATTTAATACAGTAATGGTTTTTCTTCATGTGTTGTGTAACCAGAAAAGCCAGGAGTGTGTCCAAATAACAATCTTGCAGTAGCGTTTTTAGTAAAGTGTGTCGAGTTGTGTTCCCATGACAGTGACTGTCCGAATGATAAGAAGTGCTGCAGCAAAGGATGTGGACGTCAGTGTATGCCTCCGTATAAAGGTATTTATATTATATTGGTGTTTTTTTATTTTTTTTATTTTTATATGCAGTAAGGCGTTCAGTGATCTGATTTCTCGATCATGTTCGTATAACAGAAAAGCCAGGAGTGTGTCCAAGCAAAAACCTTGGATTAGGAGCATGTGTTGAGATGTGTTCCCAAGATGGTGACTGTCCGAATGATGAGAAATGCTGCAGCAATGGATGTGGACATCAGTGTATGGCTCTATCTAATGGTATGTTATATTAATGCATTGGTCAGCTTTTTTCCCCTATTACAGGGAGTCATTCAGTGATCTGCTTTCTCTATCATGTGTTTGTATAACAGTAAAGCCAGGAGTGTGCCCAAAAAACAACCATGAAGGAGTATTTTCAGGAGCGTGTGCTGATAGGTGTTCTCATGACAGTGACTGTCCAAAAGATGAGAAATGCTGCCGCACTAAATGTGGAC